TATTTACGGAAGCAGCGATGCTGCCTTCCTTCGAGAAATGACGGACTAGAAAAGGTCGACCCCGAAATCCGCACACTCCATTTGTCCGACGGCGCATTACTGGATTCTTTCGAAATTCTTTTAAAACCAAAGTGTCCGTTTCTGCTCAAAAGGCACCTGCTGTAAGCAGCCGCATCAGGAATGAGGCAGTAAGACGTTGTTCCCTGCGCCTTCGGGTTAGGCCAACTTTCTGCAGGCGGGCGGTTCAGATTGTTGAGTCGTCGGCCCTGGGCTAGGCCCTCAAAGAAAACCGGGCATTCTCCCACTGCCTCATGGGTAAGACTTTTGGGTTGAAGGCTGGGTTCAGGGTCCCCAGAAAACCCTACATTCACCCACTGCCTCGTGGGCAGACTTTTGAATGGGAGGCTAGGGTCAGCGTCCCCGAGCAAAACCTTACGTCCCCCAATACCTTGTGGGCCAGACTTTTGAGTCAAAGGCTCAAGGTGGGGTACCTCACACAACCCCCCTCCTTCAGCCTAGCGACCGGGAAGTATCATTTGCCCGCGCAGTTCACCGTCCACTATGTCGCTCTCCAACCCCTTCCCACCGCATAACCAGACGTCGCTGGACTATTTGACTCTCAGTCATCTGACCCACGGACCTTAGATGCCTCGGTGCCTACAAACATTAAAAAATGACACCTTTCTAAATCAACGAGTTCCTTTCAATATAGGAGCTTTTAACGTCCGTATTCTATGTCAAATTGGCAAACAGGCAGTGCTTGCTAAATCCTCGTACTCGCCTAAAATTGAGGTATGCTGTGACTTCGAATCACGCATACAAGACCCGAGCGTTGTTATGCATCTCTGAGCGCCAAGGATGAAATCAGCTCGAACACATTTCTCACTCCGTGTATCCGGTGACCCAGGAGCGATGACTCGTGGAATGTAAGGCGTGGGCGTTGCACTCAGTCCCAGAGCTGAACGCGCTACGCTGGATTGGTTCACAGTGAAAAGCCGTCTCTGAGCCGTTCGGTTATCCAATTCAATCAAGCTCAATACCTTCCAGGATAAAATGCGGTGCCCCTTTGTCGTGTTGGCTTTTGTCCCAACGGGTGCAGTTCCGATGCGGAGAAGGATAGTTTCTACCAGAGCTATCTGGGCTCGTTCGTCAGGCAAAAAGCACATCGCAGGAGATTCGAATGCTGAGGCAGATCATCTGAGCTCCTGGAATTCACATTTGGGTGGTCGTTTGGTAGTCGCTGCTCGCCGCACAGACAACGGGGATCGACTACTCCAGCTGTGTGTTGATCACCAACTGTTTATGGCAAGTACGAACTTCCTACATAAACGGTCGCATCGCGTAACCTGGCGGCCGCCAACTGCAAATCAACCGTGGAACCTGTTGGACCACGTGGCCATTAGCCACCGGTGGGGAGGCACAATTCACTACTGCCGTTCCTTGTGGGGCACACCACTTGATTCCGATCACGCCATGGTGCGCGCACGCTTGAAAGTTCCTTTCCTTTCAGGTCCTCGCGAGTCGGCAAGAATCATGCCAATCCACGAGCTTCGAAGAACTGCCATAGCTCAACAGCTTTGATCTGAGCAAGCGCAACAACCCTTCATAGTAAAACAATACTGTGGTGGCAGTGAACATCCGGATGAAGCGTGGCAAAATGCAAAAGGAGCCATGCTAGCGGCGGTCAGTGCTGCCTGCCTGACTTCTCTAATTCGACCAGAAGATCATGGATGTGGTCGTTGTACATGACTGATTATAGGGAAGCATACCATCACACAAAGAGTAAGACGGTGCACGTTAATTCCTCAAACGGAAAATAGTGAAGAGTCTAAGGCCGAGAGCACTAGTGGAGATCGAAAGGTCGGGAGATGGAGGAAGCTTTTGTTACGGGGAACAGCCGTGCCCTTTATCAACTGATACGTTCGACTGGCCCTAGAAAAGCAAAAGTCAGCGAAATGATAAGTAAAAAGATGGGTCACTTATTCACTCACAAAAACGTCGACCGCAGAGATTTGCCGAAAACTTCGAAGAGCAGTTCAGCTGGCCTCCTGCTACACAGTCGGTGTAGATATTGCATACGGGGAACTGAATTTAACCCTCGATTGACCTTCAGAAGTAGAAATTAGGTATGATGTACCCGTACGCAAACGTAAGAAGGCACCAGGGCCGGACGGTCTCCATCCGGTACACTTCAGTGAAGGCGAAAAATCTCTGGTAACCCACCTGATAACGCTTAAAGGTGCTACACTGGACGAAGGGAAAGTGCCTCCAGAATATGTCGACAGGACAGCTACCCTTTTCTTTAAAAAGGGTTCGCGGAAGCTATGTAAAATCCACAGCGGCATCAGTTTGTTACCTGTGGTATCGAAGGTGCCACAGCTTGCTGGCCATATCCTTCGAACGTTGACTGAATACAAAGAAAGGCAGGCCTGTGAAAACCGAGCTGGATTCCGTCCCACAAGGGTTTGCATCGAACATATCTTTCCTTACCGACAGATTTTGGAAGAGCAAAACTGCTTCCAGCAACGAATAGTGTTTTCTTCTTGATCCGAAAGCTGCCGTTGACTCTGTGGACCGCCAAGAACTGTGACAGTCTACGTAGAGCAAAGTTGTCTCCGTGAATTCTCGGCCCTTATTAAGGCGCTGCTCACCAACTCCCGCGGCCCTGTAAAGGTCCACGGGAAGCTCTTTCCTGAGTTCACCACATCAAGTGGTGTCCGACAGGGCTATCTTCTTCCACCTTTCCTCTTCAATTCCGTCATTGATACGATCACGGGAGACTTACAACTAGCCCCTACTGCCTGTAGGGTCGAGGTGCTTGCTGGGCCTCCGCTCACAGACATTGAGTACGCATACGATTTAGTTCTTCTTGAATCTGACCCCGTGGTAGTGCAAATAATATTAAATAATCTAAATGATTCTGCTTCGCGGCTCGGCATGCGCTTTGCACCTGCAAAATTTAAAGTGCTACTGTAAGACTGAGTAGGCTCGAACCCTAGCCTGATGCATGCTGATGAACCAATTGCGGTAGTAGACATGTTTGTTTACCTGAGCAGCTATATCAGTCCCGGTGGTCTGGCGAAAGATGATATTTCCGTCCGGATTGGGAAGGCCAGAGCAGCTTATGCGAACTCACGTCACCTGTGGTGTAGGCGTGACAACAGCTTCTCCGTCAGGGGTCGAGTTTACAATGCTGCGNAATTCTGAAGTACGTCGAATGGTATTCGGGAGAAATAACTCACCCTCAGTAGATGAACTGATCACACTGCATAGGTTGCGCTGGCTTGGTCACGTGTTGCGTATGCCAGTCGACCGACTTCCTCAAAGGGCTCTTTTCGCACAACCACGTGAAGGGTGGAAGAGAGCCAGAGGCGGTCAAACAATGACTTGGCACCGAAGTATGAAAGCCACTACCAGCAAACTCAGCTGCATTGGTCACTGCCGTCTTTCTGGATGAGGACCCCGAGACGAGCCATATCAATGGTTACAGACAGTGTCAGACATGGCTCAGTCGCGTCCTTAATGGCGCTCGTGCGTCCAAGCTATTGCCGTTAATGAATAACTACTTTTCCAATCCCCTACCACACTTGACAGCTTACTAGGAGTTCTTGATTTATGCACCAATTTGTCATCTTTCGCCTGCAATGTGCAACAACCTATTCCTCTCCCCAACTCATCGGTGAGTGAAATTGTGGCAGCTACAACCACTGTTCGACGAGTACGCGGTCATTACAGCTGCGGACGTCGAAAACGTCCTCCTGAACGACGGTTGTGTCCACAACCAGAGAGACCGATTTTGACGGAGGGAGCTGGAAGATTGGCTTCTCTGCTTATATCCGCACAGCTGACTCAGTTCATATCGGAGACCGTGGCTTTGGCGAGGAGTACTGGGCTGCACCTGTGCCGTCCGTTATGGAGATAAGCGTAGAAGCTCTACGTATTTTGAGCGCTTCTTGAATGTGAGGTTTGCGTCCTTCAGGACATCACTACCTTAGGTGGAAAAGAAGCCTGTAGCGGTCGAATAACTACTGCTGTCCGGAGACGCGAAATGCGTCGGCCCGCTTTTGGGAGCACAAGGGTCTGTGACCACGATCTGCTTGGCCATGCGTTTGGGGTCTGCTGAGCTGGAGCCCAGCGGAAGCCTGTTTCGTGCCTCTTCTCCTGACAAGCCGTAGCCAAGCTTTCGCGCTTCTAGAGAGCAATCCTCGAAAAGGTTATTCACAGAGTTCACATGTACCATTTATTAAATTTTGTCACCCTAAAATAACATTCGCCTGATAACCTTCGTCAGTTTGCACTCAGTTCCTGCGGTGCATCCGGTCTCAATCATGACCAAAATCGATACAGGCCGACCTCTAAGGCCATCGATTGACCAGAACACATGTAATTGAAACAGATGTTTAGAGATCTGGTTACCCGACAAATTCCTTATCCAGGACGTGTGGGAAAGAAGTAAGAATGATTGGGGCAGATTGAGTGTACAATAATAAAGACGTCAGATACAACGGATTTAGTAATATTTGTTCTCTTTAGAATCGATCGTCATTGGCCCAGGCCAGCGAATAAACAATAATCAAACTACAGTGGGTCAGGGATCTTTTTTTAGTAATTCCCACATATAATAGGTTCCTAAGATTGTCTGAAATGTTTCGATACAGAGTTAGCCACATCAGAGATGCGAAGGCCCAATGTAAGCGCGAGCGAAATCAGAAGCGAGAGTCGAAGCACCTGACCAAGTGGTTTTGTAGTTCCTCGTATTCAAACCAAAAACGATTATGCAATTGACGAAGTACGGAGTGTTATAATGGACGCAAAATAATGGCACAAACAGCAAAGTTGTCCGTCGAATGTAAGACGTGGTGTGCAATTCAACACCTGAAACGCCTGGTGGCACGTCAAATGCACAGGGTTTACAGGACGACCAGGTAGGCCAAATAGCTAACTCTCTTGACCCGTTGTTCTACGCCAGGTGCTTCTATCTTATTTGTGCAATGGATACCACAGCTAAGAAGAGAGCCACCGAAAAGAAACCAATTCTCCATTGCTGAATCGGAAAGACCAGCGTTCGTCTCGCTTTGATCGGGATACTGGACGCGAAATAGGAGCTCTTTTCTAAAACGCTGGAGGATGAAACCACGAGAAAAAGGTGGCGGCATGGACTAAAGATGATAAAGAACGTTTTCGCCGAATCAGTCGCTTTTTCTATCCTCACTGGGCGTGTCTACCAAAGTGACACGAAAGTGGTCGCCAGCCTTAAATCCGTGGGCCATGTAACGCGTCCGGCGGTGCTTGACCTATTTCCCCAGGAGTATCGACAGGAGTATCTTACATATTGATAACAGGTTTGGTCAACAGGTTTTTTACCGACGATCCAGCAAATGCACGGCAAGGCTATGGTAATAAGGTTTTCTAGCTCAGAGCGCACTCTTCCTTTAGGCAAAATTTTCTCATTTCGGATAGTAGCTGCGTAGAATAACCCTCCTCCGATTTCTTCTACAGACCAGTTCAAAGCGCGTTTGGACACTTTTCTATGTGAGTTCTCGTACTGACCATCTTACTATCCCGCGCTGGAAAACTTAGGAAGAGTGCTACGCCGTTTTTTCTCTTGTGCATTTCAGGTGATTGGCGACCACTGAGCGTGAAGAACAAAAGGCACCCGGGAAAGTTGGGCAAGAGCCTCGATACTGTGTGTTAGTCTTCATGATTAGCGCTCCGGCGCGCCAATCCGACCCGGGTATAGGGCAGGTAACGATCCCCGGCCCGACTCAATCTGCGTCAATCCTTACGTCTAACCCAGATAAAAACACCACAAAAATGCGTGTAAAAACTGAGGAAAAATTTGGACGATAAGGAGATGTCCACAATCGTATGTTAGTGCAATGGTGATGTGGCAACGTCGTACTTAGCCTGATGGCAATCGCGCATCTATTTTCTTGCTTCCCTCAAATGCCACATTTCGCCTGTAATTGCAACTATGGACATATTTTTCGCCTGGCCCTAACCGCATCTAGGCGAGTTCATTCTCACCCACTGAACCGTTCGTTCGGATTTAACGTACCTGCTTTCTCGCTGCAATTTAGGCTAGCCTCTTCCACAAGTTCAATTTCATCTACGGTGTTCGTTTGGCCTTATGCTTTGGCACTTATCTCCCTACCGAAAATCTCTTACACCTGACTACCCGACAATATCGACACCAGTGAGTTCACTTGGTCTCGAAGTAAACCGTATTTTAATACCAATCTTATCATTTGTCCCCACTTCGAATTTATCCACCCCTATTTCCATGTCTGCTTCTTGTGACCCTGGTCATCCGCTCAACCACCCAAGGCCACTCATGATCAGCAATGATTTTCATTTCCAGTTCAGGTCAGCCAGCATCATCCTTGGACTGTTCGTCGTCCAAGTTTTCCGGTTTCCACAGCTGGCTTGACTTTTCAAGTGATACGCGTGACGCGTTGTTTGTAACTTCTTCCCCGCCGTGTTGTCGCCTGTCGCTTTCAGGTTGTACCGATCTAAACAGTCCTCAATCGGCATGTCCCTTGCAAATTATCAAATAACACCAATATCACAAGTGCTCCCTCTTCTTTGGCGTTGATGCCACTTTTGAGTTTTCAATCCCGTTCAGATTTATGATTCATTGCAGACGCATCGTTAATAGCCCTGGAGCTTGTGAAGGCGATGTCTTGCAGAATTGCTCTGCAGATAAGCATTCATAAAATTTTGTTGTTTCCGCTCTTCCGTGCAGTAGTT